CTCATACTTTAATTTGATGTATACAGTTTTTTGAAAAAAAATTTCTTTTCTTTGCTACATAACCTCAAATATAGGCAAAAATCGCGTTTTTTGCACTTTAAGGTTAGGATATCTCGAAAACCGGAGCCACCAGAGTAATTCTGACCTCGGATTCGGATTCAGCGCGCAAAAAACCTTCGGAAAACTATACTCGGGTTCTTGGTAAAATATTTTTGTCAAATTCTGTCGGCCTGTGTAATTATTTCTCTTGTCTTATTCTCTAAAATTTCCTTGGACTTGATGATTATTCAAGCGTTATTCATTTGGCTCTCATTATGCCTCGCAACGATCAGAAAATTTATCGATTCGCTCGCACTGCCTCATTATTGTTTTCGCATGAAATTATCCATAATCAAGTGCGCTGACCTAATAATATTCGTGTATGAAAAAACATCACATTCGAGCTTCGTCTACTAACCAAAAGCAAATGTCTAAATATAGACAACAAAGCTCTGTGACACGTTCACGCAAAGTAACAAACACACGTATCTATACACACGTCCTGTCATTACGGGGACTTGACTTCGGACACACGCGGTCAGCATGTGTTATATGTACACTACAGCAGCAGCGCTCCGATGCGCTTTGGACATGTGTAGATACTTATATCATATGCGTATACGCGATTGTCGACGGCAACGTGACGGGAAAAATCAAGTGGCATTTTTACGAAGAGTTTCCGCAAAGTGTTGCAATATAGACATCGTAGAGTTTTTGTTTTTTATTATTGGATTTCTTTGCCGAGTTGCTTCTTTACAATCTATTAAGTATTGTAATAGATGGGAAAACTACTGGAAAAAAATTGTTATGCATATGGCAGCTTTCGTCGTTTGAACACTTGTATGTAGTCATAATTTGAAACAAACATTTTTTAACGTATTACTTTTAAAACAATGGAAAATGAAATACTTTGGAATAGCTTATTATTTTAAACAAAAATAATCTGATTAGTATTCAGCCAATTATAACATAATCAATAGTAATGGTCTGTGTTAAACGAGACGAAGTATTTTACATATTTGGAAAACAAGTTCACATTATACCTTCAGTTACCATTCGCTAACATTCTTCAACAAATAAAGACAAGAATAAAATAGTTTATTAATTCCAACAGTACAATTGTATGCAATAAAAGTACTTTACGAACAAGTAGGTATAATCAACCTTTTGAATATTTTTTTGCACAATGAAAAACAATAAATACAGACTTAAGTTTGTAAATGACTTTCATCAAGTGCATAGCACATGTAGTCAGATATTATGCATAAGCGCACGCGCCCAGTCTCCGTACTTGGTCTGGCTGCATAATAGTCTAGTCATATATATGTATACACATATGTACACATGTGTTTACACACGCAACGCGTTCGCAAAGCGACACATTTGCAGGTGGCTGGAACCTGAATGGAAAGTGCTATACAATCGTAAAAATTGAGAATAATACGGAATTGGCACTCTCAGAGCTAACTTGACAGTTTATGTATAGGCAACTTTTTGTATGTATTTCGCCTCAGCTGTTGTAGCTCTTTTCACGTCGGGCGAGGTAACCGTTGCGCATTTTTATCTGACGTTGCATCATCGAACTTTGAGAGATTAGAAAATATATTGATATTTTGCATTTTGAAAAATACATCTGCGTTTGGTGTTGTAAATAATGTACTTTTTGATTGATTTGTCCTCTGTAAAAACTATTGTCAAAGAACATTCAATCCTATAGCCATAACAGATTAAAATTTCAACGTGTAAAATCATAACGAACGATAAATTGGCTGCAAACCATGCACTCGAGTCCTCTGTTGCAGCAGCAGCAGCAGCAGCAGCAGCAGCAGCAGTAGCATATAAGTGAAAGCGACGTAAATTGTAACTCTCGTTGCGAGTCACGACCTATCTAAGATCTCGCATATAGGCCCCTCCTTAAGATAGAAGCGAAGATGAAGAAGGGTCAGGCATCTTGAACTTGATGTAGCTCTTAAAATATATATATATATATATATATATATATATATATATAATACGGGAGCAATCACGTAACTGGCGATAATATATATATATATATATATATATATAGGAATAAGCGTTTTTGATCCCTCAGCCATACCCCTTTTGCCCCTTTTTAGGTTAGTTTTCTTTCATTTTTTATGATATTTTGATGTCCATTTCTTACCTCTTTTTGCCTGTAAGTTAAAGCCTGTTAATACTATGAGAATAATACAATATTAAATGGTTTCTTTGGAAAAATTAGATAAATATGTTACATAAATATAAATGGCTTGATTTTATTAAAGAAGGGATAAATAGGTGACACTAATGAAAAATTATTGTGCAAATAAATGTGAAGTATTTAGAAAATAAAAGAATTTTACGATAAATTTAATCAGTATTATGTAAAAATTAATTATTTTGGTAAGGATGAACTTGGTGAAAGTTTTGATTAAACACTATAATTTCACTAGAAGTGTTTATATCGATATAGAAGTTTACTGATGAGTACAAGGTTTCTTATATTTTATAATTTATGTCATTTTTAAAATTTTGTAGAAAAAGACTTGTTTTCATTATTACTCATAGCAGATTTTAGAGTTAACGTATATGTATAATTGTTACATGTTGCCTCAACAGTACTTAAGGTTAGAATATGAGGTTGTTGAGTGAAGTGAGCAGGGGGGTACCCCCTAGTATATATCTTCCTCTGTGTGTGTGCGTGTGTGGGTGGGGGGGGGGGGGGGGTTAACCTCTCAACCGCGTCTCATTTTACCCTCCTCCCCATTTTGCTCTCTATTACCTCCTTTTTACATTAGTATTCTTTCATTTTTTATAATATTTTTAACGTCCATGTTTTGCCTCCTTTTTATCTGAAAGTTCAAGCCTGTTAATACTTTTAATAATTAGTTTAATGTTATTAAATAAGCGATAAATATGACACCAATGCATGAAAAGGTTATCGTGCAAATAATTGTGAGATACTTAGAAAATGAGAATAGGATAAACTTGTGAAAATTTTAAATATGGATTGGAATTACATTGGAAGTGTGAATATATATGTACAATGAACATATGGAAGTTTACTGACGAGCATAAGGTCTTCTATGTTTTATAATTTAATTCATTGTCAAAATTTTTAATAAAAATACTTGTTTTAATTTTAAGATGTAGAGTTGTTACGTGTTGTATCAACCATACTTAAGGTTGAAATAGGGGAAATGGTGAGCGAAGGGGAGTAGGGGTACTCCTCCCTCCCCATATGTATATATATGCAATTGCGAGTATAACAGTAGTTTGATCGTTCGATTGATAAACTGCATCGAAAGAGAGAGAGAGAGAGAGAGAGAGAGAGAGCGTAATCTGCTGTCGGTCGACGGATTACGTCTTTAGGAGCGCTCACTCTCTCTTCCCGCAAAGTACAAACTACGCAGTTATAGTGTCGCCGGAGGTGGTGCAACGCACTAGTAGTGTTGTGTCGCTTTCTAGCCAGATTCACATATGCGTCGTGAGTTGAGTGAGTGAACGGAGAGAGAGAGAGTGAAGGAGAAAGAGGGGGAGGAGGAGGCTGAAAGTGTATTTTATTATGCGCTTGCCGTCTCCATCTAGAGCGTGCGCCTCTCCCCCTTCTACTCTATCCGTGCGTTTGGTCTTGTTTTTTTATCTTCTTCTTCGACTTATTTCTCCTCCTCCTGCTTTTGCCTGCTTTATATTTCACTTGGTGCAGCGCGCGCGCGCAGAGAAAATGGAATCGGAGACTTTTTACCCGATGCCGTTTTAATCCGGCGCATTTATGTGTATGCCTCAGTGGCCGATTAATTTTTTTTCGACGCGTGTACGTTCAAGTGAATGACAGCATTATATATTTGATATTTTTCATCTTTTCATTAAATTAATCGTAATGCTAATTACATATTAGCAGAAATGAATAACAAATTCATAACCTCCATCAAACTATCTCATAATCTTGTCGCACGATAGATGCAATAGAAATAAATCGTTTGCGAAAATATCGTTACATATAGCAAAAAAATCACGAGCACGAATGACAGATTAGTGATAGATTTGAAGTGTAAGTACGTCATGCAGGAACAGTTTAAAAGTGAATTTGTGAACAGACTGAAAAAAAAGAAATATGGTGTAATATGTTTCATACAATGATTTATTTTCATGTTTTGTTGGTGAAGTGGTAACAATGCAGAAAGGAGGCTCATTGAAAGTGAATTGAGAAAGAGAGCGCATTTGTGTGATGTGTCTCACGCGTTTCTACGTGACAGCCTACCGTCGCATCTCACAAATCCAAACAGTACTACTTCACTTGTGTCGAGCACTTTTTTTGCTGAATAATTTGCTTGAAGCACACGTATACTTGATTGTTATTTAATACTACTTGATAATCAACACTCCTGAGGTTGCGTGGCGTTTATAGCGTCTGTTCAGCAATGCACTTCGACGAACTCGCAGAAAAAAATGCGAAGAAGTAAAAGAATGCAGCGCGTAAAAGAAGAAGAGAGAAAAATGATGAAGCACTTGAAAAAAATAATGATCTCCGTAGAAAAATGAAGCCAACAGAAGAGGCAGTAGTACTGTATGATATTGTGATAGGAGCGTTCGGCAGCGGTAGCAGCAGGCGCACAAACGACAGTAAGCGGACGACGACGCGAACGCGAGAGCAACAAAGAAGGGCTCGAGACCATGTAAGTGACGCGCTCGAGTGCTGCAGCGCGTCTGAGCTAGCGCGCGCGCCACCCCCTTTCGCCCTCGACGGCATTATAGTGCGCGCGCACACACAATCTCGATCCCCCTCCTCTCCCCGTCGCCACCACCACTGGCAGCGCTGCCACTGTAGGGTACACATGCAAAGGTATCGAAGGTGGGGTCGAACTGCCGAGCGCGCGCGCTCATCGCGGAGAGAGAGGGAGAGCAACGTGCCGCCGTGCGGCAGCGGCATAGAATCATTACCAAGCAGGAGCTCGAGCAGAGTAGACGCGTTCACTTCTACGCTCTCAAGTTTCTCTCTTGCAGTCGCACACGTTTTTGTTGTTGACGCGCGATCGCTTTGCTCTCGCTCCTATATATTGCGTTGGTGCAGCAGTGTGAGTGTACATTTTTACTTGCGACAGTTGGTGCCACAGTGACAATTGTTTTCACGAATAGATCAAGTGCTCTATTTCGACGCGCGAACGCATACCGACAGTGCCATCGAACTAATTTTTTACCTTTCGTTCGACTTTGACTTTCTCACGCGAAAGGACAGTCCTCAAAGTCATCGAACACTCAAGCAAGAGAAAGAACATTTTTCGTGCAAGTCAGCGACTCACTTTGCTTTCCGAGGGAATTTTTCTCTTTGTTTTCGTCTACTGATTTTGGAGTGAGTGCAGCCGTCAAAAAGGCAGCACCTATGGAAAGTGATAGCCCGCACGGGGTTCCGCCTAGCCGTAGACGTCTTAGGTGACCATCATCAGTTCGGAGCATCTGAATAAATCGTACGAACTTAGCGTTCAAGTATAGAACTTTCAGACAACGTCACGTGCTTCGACGCGCGTTGCTTGTGACAAGTATCGCGAAGCGCGGACGCTGATTTTTTTTTTCGACATAACGTTTCGTCTTTCGAGGCTATAGACGAAGGATACATCAATAAAATCAACAAAGATGGCTATCCCGTTTGCATTGCCGTCGGACGAGGATTCCGAGGATCAAAGCCAACAGCAACTCGAGCAACTGATGCTCGATCTCTACTCGGCGCTGCAACAGGTCCTGCGCGCCAGAAATGCTCAACACTCACCGAGAAACCGTGAGTACATTACTCTCATCCTGGTTACGAGTCACGGTATTTTTCAATCTTTATTCGTTGCCGCGCTTGTCATTGTGCTTGGTGTACGGGCCGCGAGCCGATCAACCCACGCAAAGCCGTGAGTTCAGCGATTTTCGACGATAGCTTTTTTCCAAGTATCGTATCCGTGATTTCGGAGTCGAAATTCACTGCCTAATTAATTTATACGCGAAAATTGTTGGGTTTTGTCTTTTCGATCGCGAGTGACGAAATACTTTGAAAGCGCAACGTCAGCTGATTTCGTCGCGAGAAAAGTTGTACGCGACTTTGAGTTTAAGGGATTTCGACCAGTTGTTTACGACGATCTTAAAGTGTTACAACTTACGAATCAATGAAACAGTGCAACGCGTGTCTTAATGCTACTTCTGCCCACTGATAATCGAAGTTGGCACACGCGCGAGCCGTCAAATATCACATTGAGCCTGTCAACTTGTTGTCGTCAGTTGAAAGCCAAAGCTGAATCAATTAGAATGAGATGACAAGCTGAACGAAAAAGTTGCTGACGACTATGTACTCGGGCGGCATTGTTGCTGGCGAGTGTCGAAAATGCATGCTCCGAAAGTGCACGCGTGCGGCAAGCGTGTGCCGAGCAACAGTTTATATTACACTCACACTTGTAGCCCTCTTGGCGCGCGCGGTCATCGACCGAGGGAATAGTAATTGGCTCCGTCGGCAGTTGTGTTGTGTGCTTGGCTTATAATGCACTCATGCCTCATTATGTAATGATGCGTGCGTCAAAAGTGTCAAACGACAAGTTAACATCGAACGACCGACTGACTCAGTCGCGTGCTGCCGTTACTGTTTGTTTATGAACATAGGCGGAGTCGTGCCAATGGAACAGTCTTGTGCGCAAGTAGACGCGCGCCAGAAAAAGCAAAGTATTCATTACGGCAGCTGTGCCTTATGATAATCGAGAGGTGTGACGACGAGGAAGACAGCACGCGGCGTAAAGAGTTATCCAATCGTAGAGTACGTTGACGCGCAAGTGCACTTGATCTTGAGCGACACGTTATTGACCTGCGGTATAACAGTGGGGCGGAGAAAAAAGCACTTTGCATTTGTTAAGTCGGTATTACCGACTTATTTTCGGAAGGATGCTTTTTTTCCGTTCTACTGGCCAGGTTGACGTTTTCGAAAAATCTGATAACTCGACGGCTGTTTAGTGGACGGTGATTTTCCGCGAGTCCGTTCAAGGAAAATGTTTGTCATTGTTTGAATAATATTATGGTAAGCGTGACAAATTCATTTTACGTTCACTTAGATTCCGCGATAAAGCGATATATTACCGAAATCGATTGAACGTTAAACAAAAATGTGCATTTAGTCGTTTATAGTATCTTTGAAAGAGCGACGTGTTACCGAATTGGCGAGAAGTGCATAAACAAAAGAGATGTCGTGGCTGTTGCTCGATCGTATTTTCTGAAACAGCACATATATATTAGCTGTGGCGCGGCACACAAGTCAACGATCCCAAATTGGCTGGACACCAAATTTACGATTCCGCTTTGATATACGCATATGAACTTGCGATACGTAACAGTAGTCAATGATTCACGCTTCGCGCGCGTTCTTGAGATTCCAGTTGCACGCTGCCTGCTTGGTCGACTACCGTTCGTACCTTTCCAAATACGATGTGATTGCGCAAGTCTATGAATGATTCAAGGAAAACAATACGGTTACAATAAAGAAAAGACGAAAACGATCGTTGTCTATGCGCGAAAAAAAAGAGTATCACTGAGTAATCGACATCTTGCGACTTGTGTTACGTGTTTCGCGCGAGGTAAACGTCAAGTTGCGTTTTGCATAAATGTTGTCGATCGATTTGAAAATGTTATAAATAGCGAGGAAGAGAAGTTGTGTCTAGCAGGTCGAAATGCAACAACATTGTTATTTTCCCACAAACAGACTAGTTGTTTGGGCAATGAAAGACAAAGCTTTTCTGGAGAGATCGGAACAAAGTAAGCGATCTGGAAGAAAAACAAAAGCCATAAATAGCACGCGTAAAAAGTGGCAGCGTAAAAAGGCAGCGTGGCGACATTGATTCCGATAATGGAGAAAGAAAAGTGCTGGCACACGCAGAGCGTGATTACCAGCTTCTCAAAATCAAATTACACCCGAAGTGCTACGAAAAATTGAATGTATGCACGAAAAGACTTTAAAGCCGAGTTGGCTCGTGCGAGCGGCGGCGATAATTTATGCCCTGTCGCACAATAAAACGCCGAGGAGTCTCCCTGGCGAGAGCGCAACGTTGCGTATATATATATAAGTCCCCGAAGAGATGTATTCTCCGTAGATGTGTGAGTGTGGGTGTGCGCGTGTGTTGGTGGCGTAGACGATGTCCGGCCGTGACCCTGCTGCCTCTCTCTCTTTCAGCGCGTCGTGCGTATGCGAAGCCTTTGACTCGGCGACGACGAGATGATGCTACTCGCGCGCGGTCAGTTGCGGTAAAATTCTGATCTGATCTCTCAGCTGGTCCGCATTATCGTTGAGTGTCGCGCAAAAATAGTACAGACGCGGGAGGGTTCAAGAAACCACGCGCGCCCCGTTGCATCAGATCGCCAAGAGTATATTTTCGGAAGACGCTTTACCAGCGAATCGCGCTGATTTGATCCCTCGAGTTGGCTGAATGGCTGCGGAGACAACAGAGCGATAGCATGCTTAGATCGGGCGCGAAAGCTCGCGTTCGACTTGTCGATCGAAGCATTAAAGCGCTAGAATTTGGGTCAGGTCGATTTGCAAAGTGCTCTCGCATGGTAGCGAATCCCTGCTTGTGTTGCTCGCATGCGACCGATTAGTCACGAGACTTTTTCCTTTTTCTTTACACACGTAAGCCACGCTCAATTATTCAGCGAGCTAGTAACGAGGAATGCGAGCAAGAATGCGCTATAGCCGCGAGTTTACGCGCCCGCATCTGCGCTGTTGTGTCTCGCTTCGAATGAAATATGCAAGAAGAATTCGTCATCAGGAAAATTGTCGCTCAAGCACGCTCGCTTCCGATCAAACATGCATCGCGCGATACATCATCGACGTAATATCGATCCGCTTCTTTGCTCTTTGCCGCCGGTGGCTAGGTTTCGCGCTTGGCAAACCTAACGTGTACATCCACGCGTTAAATCTCAGCAATGTCAGCAGGCTGGATTGCCTCGTTTTTCACCAGTCTTTATTTTCCTTTGTTCCTCTGTGATAATGCAATGTGCGATTCATGCAACAAAGACGCGTAAAGGTAGCAGCTAGCTTCTGCTCTCATGTGCGTGTGTGCGTGTGTGCATGTGTGCGAGGCAGCGACGGAAGCGACAGATAAAAATACGCCAGAGCGCGATAGCTGCACGCTGCATTTCTACATTTTCGCTGTTTTATCTTGGAGCGCGCGCGAGCATTTTATATACTTATTTTCGTGCTCTGTGCTATATTCTATTTGGCGCGCATCGCGCCACTCCAACGGTCGCCCGGTGCTTGCGTGAAAATTCAATTTGGCGTGCGTACGCCCAGTTGAACAAAGCGAGGCATTGCTGTGCGGATACGGCTTTGAACGTGCGCAGGGATGAAGCGGGATTTCCTCGACAATTTTCCAGCGCCAAGTCATACTTAGCCGGCCTCGTCGGTAGCGTCCTATCGATAAGTTACTACGCGATAATAAATACGCTCGTTAGCGAACCGAACTCTCTTCGCCACACGCGGTATTGTTTCGCCGAGAGGCGCGACGCGCGACGCGTGCGCACGTTACGAGGCGAAATGAAACTCGGCCTGTACATTAGTCAGCGAGACGTCGCGGACGTAGGCACGCGCGCGCGCGCGCGCGACCGAGCCAGCGGCTTTTCACAGTGCCAATAGAGGATCGCGCGTGTTTTCCGCGCGCACAATGAGCTCTGCACTTTCTCGCGCGCGCATAACGTTTTTTGCGCGGCGACGGTGGCCTTGAGCCGCTGACTCTTTGTGCAAACGAACAGCGCCAGCGAGCGTGGCAACCGCACATGCACGCCCGTATACGCGCTCTTACTTTTTTCGATTAATCCTTTTTCTCTGTCCTCGACTCAGTTCGAAACGCCTTAATGGATTTATTGGATTTTCCTGGAGTAACAGTGCCGACTCGCAGCGAAACTTTCGCGGAAGTACACGAGAAATCTGGCGTATACGAGAAAATAACAGAAAGCGAAGTCGCGGCTGAAAATGATCGACGGCCAACGAACAGGCCTTTCGCCAAGGTCACGACGATCCAAGTATCAAAGACTCGTCGACGCTGCACGAACGACTCGATACTTTATCGGTTTTATACGCGCGATTAATCAGCAGCACGTCACAAAGGGCCGTGTGACTCACGTATGTGTGCATGCGCTGCCGTTGGTCTGTCTGCATGCGGGTGTTCGCCACGTGCGCGCTGCAGTTTTTTCGCCGCCCGCGCCTACTTGGCGACGTGCACTTGCACGCGTCGCTGAATCAACGTTCACAACAGCGGCCAGTATACGACGCATGCTACGTAAACGTCGAAAAATCGTGCGCTGGAGTAGCCGATACAATAGATCGATCCACGTTACCGTTGAAAGTGCGCGTCGAGCGCGAATCAAGCGATACACATTTACATATATGCGACGTAGTCATCTTTTGTTTTGCGCGCCTCTCACGCGGAGTAACCTCGAGCATCGCCCGTATGAGAGAGGCGGATTTTCTTTGTTTCCCGCGCTCACGGCAGATGCAAATTGGTCGCGCGCAACGCTAGATATCGCGAAAGAGCCAATGTTCTAATGCCAAGGACGTCGCTCGTCGAGCAGATCGAACAGTGATGCTCTTCGAGGAGCACTCTTGCCGCGTACGTTCGATTGAGTCGGCCGTGCCAAGGTCATTGGTTGAGTTGCTCTCACGGGCAGCATTAGAGAAAGAGAAGAAAATCAAGTGTCGTCAATGATGCTTGCTGATGCAACAATGAAATTGAAAAATAGTTGCGATTGCTTCGTGGTGGATACGTCTGAGCGGAGGCGCACATGATACAATCAGAGTGCGGTCAGATGAGCGCGTGGTTTACCGCGGTGCGCGATAAAGCTGACCCGAGTATCAGTGCATCGTCGAGAGACCGGCAGCTTGGGAAAATACATTGTTTTCACCGTTTCACTGGGTTTATTGGGCTTTATTGGGCTTTATTGGGCTTTATTGAGCTTTAATGGGTTGTTCTTCGATCGAGGAGGTTGCACAGCCCGACTCTGCCAGTACATCGCGCTTATCTCGCCAAGGTCTGACCCTTGACATGTTTTCTGTTGCAGACCGATTACCGCGCAGGTCATCCGACCTGTCGTCCACGCGCGAGCACTCGGTGTTACTCGTGGACTCGGACCTGTCGCGCTTACCGTTGCCCGACTTGGTTCTGTCGGCTGTCGAGCAATTGCCGCCACCGCCACCACAAGTGACCGTCTCAGCACCGAGCAGCCCAACGCGAGACGCTGCCTTTCAATTTCCCGAGTGCAGCACCAGCAGCTCGGCTGTGTTACCGGTACCAAGTCCAAGGCCCAAACCGCGCCGTCGGCGACTCACTTCCGAAGGCTCACTGCCGGAAAAGGACACCGTGCCGACGGAATGCAATGCCGAAAGAGGCGTCTGCTGTGTGCATCATCTTGCTGCCAGTCTTGACGAGAAGGAATGGAAAACCGTTGGCACTTATCTCAGAAACATCGCCGATGACTTTCATGCATCCAAGACCAAGGTTTGTTCCGCTGACCATTTTTCAAATAAATTAGGATGTGTTGCACAACTGCACAAAACACAACTGTTCGTTGATAAAACTGCACATAATGGCAAATATTAGTCAACTGGTCAACCAATAGATAAAACTTGTATTCACGCTGATGATAGCATCCCACCTGGAACAAAGTCGAACGCGTCGATGTCGATGTCGATGAGGAGGTGCAACAAACGCATAAAAGATAAATCATACTGCACTAAGATGAAACAGAGCTCGCGCAACGAAAATAAGAAAGGGCCTCTTTTTACGAGGTACTAACGCGCGACGGTAGCGGCCGAGCTTTTAGAAAACCAATAACCGAAGAAATGAAATTTTCCTGGGCTTATTTCGCGACTTTTATTGCCGTCTCATTAGCGCGCGGCTCTTGCTACCGTTTTCCTCGTCTATCGTGTAGTTTCGTGTTGCTCGCAGTGGCACGGACAGTTAATAACGGTATAGACGAGAGCAGCATTAAAGATAGGACCAGTCAGCTTATCAATTAAAGTTGTTCCTTCTCTTAGCTCTCGAAAGAGACCGAGGGTCTCTCGGTATAATCGATGAATCTCGGTACACAGAGATTTCTTCAATTTCACGGCTATCTTCTCCCCCTTCGATTACCAACACTTAGCTGGTAATAATTAGACGGAGCCCCGAAATCGAGTATCACCTCCTCGAGTACGCGCAGCTGCGAATCCAACTTGCCTTATCCTCATTAAAATTAGAAAAGAAAGAAAGAAAGAAAGAAAGAAAGAAAGAAAGAAAGAAGGAAGGAAGTTAACCAGGAGGCTCGTAATTCGGAGGCTCTCGGTACATGTTTAATGGACGAGGCTATATCTATGCAGTAGTCGCCGCACAAGGGGCTAGTACACGTCCCGGGTCTGATATTTATGACACCCGAGGGAGCACAAGCCATCGGCATCAGCTGTGTCTTGCGTCTAGGCGTGCGGACGTCTGCTGCTGCTGCATCTTGCGAAAATCGATCGAGACGTACACGATATCAGCTCGAAAGAGATCATTCCTTTCTTTTTCGTGCCTTCTCGAAAACAACTTGGTGTTGGCGCCGATTTTTTTCTGTTAAGCTCGATGCATGATCTCACTCGTGTTATATTCAGATACTCCGCAAAGCATTTCCGTCGCGTGCTACGTTCGCCTCTACGATCTGTCGTGGCTTGATTCGCCGTCTCTCTTTGCACTTACCTTTTTTCACGAGAAATTGTGTAAAATTCATTATTGCATACAATTCTTCGAAAGTAATCGTTCAAGTCTGCCGCTTTCTTCTTCTTTTCTTGCTCGTAATAGCACTCGGCAATTGATAGTTTTTCAAAAGCACGCTGAGGTCAAGTGCGATAGAGAGTCCAAGGAGCGCGTGAACCCGAAATTAGCGCGCGTATTTTCGTCGGTGTAAAAGGGCACTAAAAGTAGCACGCGAGAGAGGGAGAAAGTTGCGAGGGGGAGGCTCTTTTTCTCTCTGCGTTCCCTTTTACAGACAGGGTAGAAAGAGAAATAGACGAGCAAAGCAGAGAGATGTCAAGTTGACTTTTAACGACTTTCGCACTTAGCCATTCTAAAACAGATGTAACTTTGTATCTAAAGCTTCGCGGTCAAATGCAGTCTTTTAAATTGTAATGCGAGTCAGCGAGAGAGACAGCACCATGCAGCGCATTTACGTAGGGTATAACGCTAATTGGCCGCTGCACAAATTCAAGAGGCGATTAGCACGGCTTGATAATTCAATCGATCGGTCACGTACGATTTCGGAAAGTCACTTGCATTGGCTATTGCGTAACTTTATATATCTGCAGGGGCAAACAATGAATCCGCGCGCGTGCCTTCAATATACAGCCTCCAAGTCGGCGAATATTGCACGTCAGCGTTTCTTATCTTGCGCGCGCGAACGGGTGGCGTAGCGCAATTATCTTTTGCGCAATGTGTAGTAGTGCCTGGAGGCGTGCTTTTACACCGATTCGACGTATACACACGCGTCTATCTATATATGTATATTCGTGCCCATGTACAGATGGACGTTGGAGGCAGCAAAAAAGCCGATCGCTTACTTATCCTTCGAGTGGTGTGCATGCACAGGATTTGCGCAATACGAGCGCGTGCATACGAGCGTACAGCACTTGTATTGGAAAAATTATTGACAGATGCAATGTCACTCGACTGCGAAGTAATTGACTGTGAACGAGTCGTGCACACCGTGAGATAGAGGCAAAATAGATAGGAATTAAATTTATTAATATTGATAACGAGATGGAAGATGAAAGAAGCTCAATTGCGACAGTTGAATATTTCTGGAAAAAAGGTAGTCCCGCGTCAAAAATAAACATTGTGAGTGAGCATCAATATTCAGTAGTTTCTTTTTCCACGCGTGCGTGCTTCGTCGGCTCCATAACTTTGCACAATCGCAAGTGCGCTTATCAAGATGCACATAAACATACGAGATAATCTCTTTTTCGTAGTGCATCGAAACCGAAAGTACTGATTTTCTCATGAAACCCTAACTATCGACACGCGCACGGGCAGTAATTCCTTATGCAATTAAGCGTCTCCCTCGGGGACCATTCTATCGACCAGCAACACCATAACCCCGTGAGCGTAAACATTCGGAGAAAATCTCTTTTCCTCTCTCACTATCTCTCTCTCTCTCTCTCTCTCTCTCCCTCTCTGACTCGCAAGATATTAATTGAAGAGCGCTATAATTCTTTCTTAATGTGACACGTCGAGAGATGAGCAAGCGATGGTTTATTATTGTTCGCCCAAGAGACAGTGAGAAAGAATCGGAAGTCGAGTAGATTTTTGGTCGAGATTGCACGACGTGAAGAGGGGAGTGAGAATGGCTTTCACACTTGTACATACGTTAGACGAGAGTATAAAAATGATTTACGATTATTTCATGGGGCGAGCGCGAACAGATAATTGTTTGCGGTAGGATTTTCCAGCGATATACATTGCCAAGTAGTAATATGCCGCATTAGCCAGACGCCAATAGGATCTTTAGTGTTACCGAGAAACGGTTGAACAAACAAACGAGTAGCGACATATAATGACGATGAGAAAAAGGAAAAGGGCGGTTTTCCCTCTCTTCTCCTAATTGGACAAGTGTCCTCTAATTGGCTGGCTCCAAATTAGGGAACGTGCGCGCTCACTCTCAAGCGCGCGCGAGCGTCGTGACAGCTTTCTTTGTTCCAAGTGGGCGCCGCTATTATTATCATGATATCCGCGGCTCGAATTTTGCCCTCGGCTCTTGGCAGTAGTGGTAGCGACACGATAAGCCTTCAACTAATTCGAGCATTTGCCTTCTTTTCGTCGACTGTTACAGGACTCGGCAGTGGAGAAATCGAGGCTGTCGTTCTTGGGCTCGTGCCTGTCGTCAGCGGCGAGCCGCAGTAGCAGTCTCAGTCGTTCAGGCTCAACGGACAGTATCCTTTCGATGCTGATTCCGCAACCAGTTCGAGAGACTCTGTGGACGACACTGGCTTTGTACCTCGGCTGGCGATTGGTCACACGTCTGCGATAGAGCATCGTCGATGTCGACCCGATGATGGCAGCAACGTAAAATCCGCCAACGAGGCTTCGATACTTATTATGGAGGAGGAAGACAGAGCCTGTGATGGTGACGATCACGACGATCACGAAGCATAAGAAGGTTCTTCTTCCGGCTTGTCCTTTTCTCTAAACACTACACATAATGTACATATTGTATATGCCGCGCTTCGTTCAGCATCCGAGAAGGTTCGCGATATTATATGTCTATTACACTTTTTGTGAGTTGGTTTGATCCCAGATAGCGAGACATTTTGCCATATTTCGACATTTCGACACGTGAAAATGATGGACAAGGAAAGAACTGTCTCGGATGTTACTTTGGCCATCGCGTGCCATCGTTTTTCTACGTGCATCGCGCTGTATCTCTCTGTGTGTTGAGACGAACACACGCAGGCATAACCATCGATTCTGAAAGGAGAATGCGCGCGAACAAGAGGATGTTAGTATATGCGTATATATAGAGAGGGACCGGACCGTGCGGAGCGGTGTTTTATTTTTTCACCTGCAAGAGTGCAGGCAGACAACGTTAGCGGATGAGAAAGGACGAGATCCAAAGAGGAATAAAACCCAATAATCAAACCGATGATCTCATTATGGATAAACAAAGAGAATTTTTTTATTAAAGTAGCTGTTGTGATTTGTAATAAGCCCAAGTGACGGAGATGCGATTATAATTTCATGAACTTTTTTTTATTCGTATCGCAACTGTAGATCGAGCTTCGCCACGAGCTCGCATTTAGATTGTATCTTTGCTTTTTCTTTCTATGTTTTTATTTACTTCTTTTCTTTCGAGATTCGACTGACATTTACCTTGATACGTGCCAACGATTTACATTGCCAATTGTAAAGACTTTGTGATTCTTTTAGTTTCTTCGATAAGATGAAAAAAATTATAGTTAGCTATAGCATTACGATGAGTACTTTGGTTTAAGAAAGAATTTCTATTTAGACACTTACGTTTAATCTTATAAATATCTCTTATTTAGCGTGTAAACCAAAATGATCTTTTGGTAGATAGTGGGAGTTGGCCGATCGTTGGCACGTATACACGCGTCGTCGTTGTTGTACATATAGCGAGTGAATAATAATAATAAGCGCATACAAGACATTCTCTCTCTCTCTCTCTCTCTCTCTCACACACACACGGACGCACACGCACACACGCACGCACGCACGCACGCACGCACGCACGCACGCACGCACGCACACACACTTACACAGTCTGCACGTGACAATACGGGGACACGAGTGTGCGTTGTGTATATATGTGTGTCTGCGTGCGTGTGTGGATGACGAAAAACAGAATAAGTGGGAGAGCGAGAGTGAACGGGTGAATGTTTGTTTGAATTGCTTTCTATAAGTGGCGATAAAGCGGAAGAGGCAGCGCGACGTATAATTGTATAAAAATCTAAATTTCTTGAGTAAATAAGTAATTAATTAACGTAGATAATTGAATATAGATCGAGGAGCGCAGCATCTGAATTGGCATAGCTGCGCGGCCCGTTGACAGTTTTCAAATGATCTCCGGTAGCTTAGCTCTTAGTGACGTGCCATCCAAGACCTCTTCGTCTTTTTAAGGCGCTTCAAAATATCTTTGCTAAGCGCATTTATCATTTCACGAAGAGGAGCACGTCTCATTTCCTTAATGCTTTTTCTAATCTATTCTCTATCCTTTTCACTTTCTTTAACTCTAAAACTATTCTTTCAGCTCTATTATTTTTATTTTCTTTTTCTTTTTGGTTAGTCATCTAACTTCTTACAGTTTCGCCTGTCGTGACAATCTGGAATTTCCCACGAATGAACTTGGTTTCAGCGATGGTTGATTATATTTTGCATTTGTACCCTCGGAATGGTGTTCAATTTCCGAAGACAATTATTTTCAGATCCTTAAGATTTTTTGTTGCATTTTTGAGCTTTTACATTTGATATTCACTTAAAAGACCGTCGAGATATCTAATCTTGTCTGTGTTTCTAACATTTAAACGAATATATAACTACAGTACCATATACTTGTCTCTTAATATTCCAGTATGTAGACGAATAGTATTTATTTAGATAATGTACTCTCGCTTTTTCCCAGTTGTAATTGAGGCAACTGTGTTTTCTTTTTTATTTTCAAAAGTTTTTTAGTATTTCATAAGGTAATTGTACATAACAATTGGGGATTTCTTTTCACTTGATCTCTTGTGTCATATAAGATTTAACGCTGTTGCCTCGGCCATATACCAATTCCTTACTGTGGGCTTCGAGATTTTTTGCTTCTCATTCTTAAATTCTCTTCAATGAGAGCCGAGAATGATGTCTTCATTCGATGTGCGTTGCTGAAATATTTTTTTAATAATCAATGTGCTTGTTCAATCGCTAATAAATTATCAAAGCAATAAGAAACGAAAGTGTAAATTTAAATCGAATATTTTCAATAACGCCATTGAATCTCGTCACTCACTTGAAAAAGAGCTAATATTTATAACGACGATAAGAAAGTAACTTTTCTCGATGGTCTTCTTGGGCAATACTTTTTCTTATTGGAGGTTGAGAAGACTCTCGAGGCAGGTTTGATACTTTGAACTTGTTTCAACCCTTCAAATATAACCGTATGCAAACACTATGTTTTGCTGTCATGACAGCCTATTTCTTTAGAGGAAAAAAGCGAGCGAGCGTAAAGTCCCCTTTTTCCGCGGTTCGGTGATTTACATATTCAAAAGAATCAATTATCTGATCGATAATGTGTGAAGCAAAAAAGTACCCACATACTATACCAGATATGCATTTTTTTTGTGAAACTGGTGAGTGAAAAACTTTTTGGGCAATAGTTTTTCGTGAAAAAACGTTTTTGAACGGAGACGAAGGCAAGCACGTGTAAATAGTTTTGCTTTCTTTATTTCAATCTCAGCACTTTAGCATTTTTTGTCTTTGCACAAGCCACATTTTGTTTTTTTTTCCTTATTACGTTTTTATTTTCTCTTTTTTATGTTTTTTTTCACCGCGTAATTAAATACGAAACCTTAGAGTCGTAAACAAGTAGAAGCAGTTTATAGCTAGTAGTCAGCCATATGGAGAATAAACTATGAATAAAGCATTGATAAAAGTGTGTATGTGTATATACACACATAAATATATATTTTAAAGGGTATATTTGAAAAAAATCACGATTATTGTTTTTTGAGATGATAAGCTGGTTTTAGGCGCGGATGAGATACGTGCGAATAGGTGTTTTGCCAATTCTGTCATCGTTAATCTTTACCATGATCAGATTATGAAAAGAAAAATTTGCGGAAAAAAGTATGCGAGATCGATAGTAATTGAGCCTCGTCTTCGAGACGTCGTTGATACGGAACTCTCTTGAATGATCCACGCGCGTGTGCGCGCGCGCTCACTATTTTTCGGTAACTCGATGAATTTTTTTGTTCGATAAATAGTACGAATAATGCAACTCAACAAATGTCAATTACGTACCGCAGGCGAGGTATTCGATTGGAGTAAACAAAAGAATTATAAGCTGTAACTGTGACTTTGTGGATCATGGGGAGCAGGCTGTGCACGGAACACTTACAACTTAGATAAAGCAAATAATATTTACCAATAATCTTTCGATACTCTTTTCGTACTCTAAAAAAGTATAATGCAATTGAAATAAAGTGCAGCCCGCCCACCCGAGATCCCCGCGTGTCAAAGCGTCACTGTGATCTCGTAATTAATAATAGATATCTAATTATAATAACGAATAATCGTATTGAATATTGTAACGTTCCTTTTCCTTTTTCACATGCCCGCAGCAAACACATCCCTGTTTTATTTTGTAGGCTCCCTGCTAAATTCCGAAAGTTGTCCGAAGAGTCTATACGAGATTTTTTGTTAGCTCAAAGAATACAATAATAAAAACAAACTTGCTTTTGAACGTTCATTCTGTAGTTGTATAATGTATTCCACGAATCCAGTAGTTCATAAACAATTGAAAAAAATGATGATCTCTAGAAGACATGGATTCCTGGGCGAGTTTGCATTTATTCTTAATGTCTCTCGTTTTAGCTCAGTGATTATTAAACTTAATTCTATCAGAATTATCTATTCTTCTTACTATTGGAATTAATGTGATTGCTTTTCCGTTCTCCGTATCTCAGCGCGGAGAGAAAAGAAAAGAGATATAAAAAGTTAACGAGAGGCATTAGTTTTTATCAACCACCCCAGTTGAAGCATGTACTTCATCTATTACGTTAACATATAGTTAGATTATTTTCACTTATTATTACAATTATTATTAATTATTGATAATGAAATATTATTATTGCTATTATTGGTACTGATACTTTACTTTGAGGATCGCATGCGTATTTATATTTTTTCACATTGAAAATGATTATTTCTCATCGCTATGGTAATTTTAATGAATGTGAAGATTTTTTTCTATCAAAATAAATTATTGAATTTGCACATTTTATGCTTTTGATCGTGGCGTTGGAGAGGTAATCGACTAGTCTTTACCGGACAAAGCGTTTGAGATTTTTTATACAGGATAAATGACCGTGAGATTCAGATTGTTTTATACTCTTTTTGATACTACTAATAATGATAATTCAAGTGCCGAATCGTTAGAAAAGCAAAGTCTTTTAGAAGTTTCATCTTGCAATTTGCAATTTTAGATAACAAAAGAAGAGATAAACTACTCTTTTTTATTACATGTAAACTATTGTGTCAATGCCATAGAAAATACATTCAATTTTGTCAGTATTTTGAGCTATGTCTCGTTTTACCTCCCTCATTTTATTTTTTCTTTCACTGCCGTTCATTCAGAAAACTATGATCAAAGTATTTTAGAGTAATACCGTAAAAAAGGCCGTCTAAGGCACACTCGGGATAAAACTCTGCATTTATAAATAGAAACGCGCGAGTAATAAGTTTAGGAGAAAGCAATTTTCGATGAGATATGGGAAGGGAAAAAGGAAAAAAAAGACAAAAATTGTTTTGATTTGCTCAGACTGTCTTCAATTTGCCATGAAAGTAACGAGCGCTACGAAAAGCTCGTGGTGGTTTGCTTTAACTCCCGATAAAGGTGCCAAGTGTAGCACGCGTGCATTACGCGCCGCTTATAAGCGTGTTCTATTTTTTATATTTTATCGACACTAACACATCTTTTTTTGTTTGTCTGAAAACTTCTCTTTTTTTAATCTGGCTGTCAACGATCGAATAGTGATAAACCGCTATTTAGAAAGGATTAAACATTTGTATATTATTTTTATTGTTCTTTTTATTTGTTTTTTTTTTTCTTTCTTTAAAACTTCGGATGTCCATGAAATCGTTACCTGTAGCCAAATGCCTCCTCCCTTCACCTCGGATCATTCTTTTCCATCCTTTCCTTATTTATTTGGGATTGTTCCAAAGGAAAAGTATTTAAAAGAAAAGCAAAAGAAAGTATGAGCGTGTTATATTATCTAAAAAAGAAAATAAAAATAAAAGAGAAAAGCGTTATATGTTGTGTAGCTAGCAAAAGAAGAAAAAACTGCGTCAATTGATTGGATTGCCTCCGGCCGAGAGAGAGAGAGAGAGAGAGAGAAAGAAAGAGAACAAATAAGAGAAAGAGAATAATAAGTGAAAAAAAAAAACGAGTACGAGCGTGCGCTCAAGCCGTCGTGAAAGCTCGCAAAAATGCCTTGTGATAGAGTCTGGACTCCTTGCGCTCCCCCCCTTTTAGACGTCTCTTGATCCTTTGCCTTTTGATCTCGAGGAAAAAAATTTCAGGTAAAGACATTTTTTTTTTCATACAAATAAACAACAGAGATCGCTAACAGCTCGTACGTGTACATGCATTGTCACAAATAAAAAACAGCGACAGAGGGAAACTCTAAAAGCTTCAAAAGACGCTAGTTATTGAATCGAAAATTTCGTCCAGCTGACCAATCCAAAGAAGCGACCAAATAAACCGAGATGAGAGTTGATGTTGCGAGCGTTTGTGAGACGCGCTTGAGTTGTTTGCTTTTCTTTTCTCCGAAAATAAAGAAAAAGAATTATATATGCGTCCGTACATAATAAAATTCAAGTAAATTGGAGAAAGATCACAAGGCGGTCACGTGATAGTCGAACGTCGTAACGAACATTTTTCTGCCTACCAGCAGTTTTGCATTTATTTTTATTACTTTTTGTTATCTTTTTTATTTTTATTGCGTTTGCTTACTCTCTCTCTCTCTCTCTTTCTCTCTCTAGCTCTCTCTCTCTTTTCACCATTGTTTCTAACTCTCTTCTACACTTCTCCTTGTTTCCGCTATTAAATTGCTTATAACCAGATAAATGAAAAGTAAAACTAAACAAATAAACAAAAAAATTAAAAAAAAACAATAAAATGAGAAAATCATGACACCTCGTGCTGGCTTTGCCCGCGAGCGAGAACGACGAAATGCGAAAATGAATAAGCGTAAAGGAAATAAGAAAAATTGTAAAACGACCGTCAGAGAGAGAAAGAGAGAGTGCAGGATCGTAAAGCGTCTAAGTGTAGGTAGTTGTACATTGATACTGGCATAAATATGTATAACGCGGGGCGAAGCTATATCGAGGTACGGGACCCGATATCCATACGATGCTGTGTTATTTAAGTCACTACAAGACCATACGTTATTGCTACTTTTATTTTATTTTATGAACACAATTTTCTCATGTTATTAATTTTATTGCTATCATACGAGTTTTTTAATAGAACGCACTAGGTGCGTGAGCTACGTATTATTAATATAATTACTTTGAGTTTTAATTTGTTTACGTAACAATTAACTCTGCGTCATTGTACTTGCGATTGTAATTATTCCTCTGTCTATGTATGATTATGATTATCAGCGCAACATCCTTCCGCTCCGGTCCTCAAGATTTTCATTATTGTAAACTTTGCGCTAATCTTTGTTTTTTCTTTTTATAAAACTTTCATCTACTGAATTTTTATATGGACGTTTATTTGATTTTTTGACTCTTGTGTCCGTTGTTCACGTCTGCATACTCATGACACGGCTCTCGAAACAAATTGATACACGGTAAAAAAGACGAAGAGTAGTCGAAAAGAGTGTTGAGCAATTTTTCAAATCCTCTGACAGATCTGGAAAAAAGCACGACCAGTGAGATTTTTCTTTTTTTTTTTGTTTCGGAAAAAAGCGAGGAAAAGCGACATGTCTTGATGTACACACGGGCAGGAGGCATCTCCGCTACCCGCATGTCTTTCATTGTACAGATTTTTTCACTTTTATATAGTTATAATATTGTAAACGTTACAATGTCGATAATTACGTCGATGACTAACGTCATCGTATTATTATTGTACTTGATTTTTTTATTGAATAAATGTGAACACGCCGAAAAATAAAAAAAAAACTGTTTTGTTACTTAAACACATCCTAAAAATCCTGCAGTCCTATATATCATGAACTTCCTATTTGGAATTTTGCGTTATTTTATGAAATTTAATAATCTTACTTTCACAATTACCAATCATAATTTACTAAATAATTCACATATTCAACTTTCATTTGCACAACTTCAAATTGAAGAAAAAAATGTATTAACGCAGTTAATACATTGACAATATTAACTAGTAAAATTAAATCATTTGTTGGAAACATTGCATCATTTCTTGAATAAATAATTGACATGAATGAAGTTGGAGTAAGCTCAAACTGACGCTGCCAATCGTCACTATGTTCAACTATCGAAGAAGGAAGCCCAACAGCGAAAAGTTTAGTATAATCGGCATGCCCCTTGTAACTCAACAAGCCAACAAGTGTCACTGTCCTTCCGAGTGAAGCAGTTTGCAAATTCAAGAAGACCGACCTCTCAGACTCGCAACCCATCAGAAGCGCAAAGTATAAAGTAAAAGCCGATGGACGAAATCCGATGCGCGTGCAATTGCATGCACTTAGTAGCCTGAAAAGGGGTCGAAAGTGACGAAGGCTACGGTGATGTTGGCGCACACCTGTGCCGCTTGCTTGCACGGTGTTTGGACTTGCCTAATGGGTTTTCCTGAGACGACGACTACGACGACTACGATGACGACGACGACGACGACGTGCCATCTGGGAAGCTCATTACTAAGGGATGTAACCGCAAACCAATCAGCTCCTGCCCAGTGCGCGCACCAATTCAACGCGAGGACAAGCCCGCCACAAGACGCTTCTCCGAGTCTGATTATGGATTAGACTTAGGAGCGCGCAAGTAATCGCATAACGCGTCAACTTGAGTCGAGTTGCAAGCTCGCGTATTACCTGCCGATTTCTCCCCCTCTTTGGGCATTAATTTTCCTGATAATCTCAATGTGTGCACTACGGTGGCTATTGTCGTTATCCATTGCCGCGTATTGAGACACATTATAGGGATATAAAGCTTATTCTTATTAAGCATTCATTAAGTTTGATGGTTATTTGCGGCTGAGCACTTTAAGCCACTATGAAGGATGATTCCACTCGGCAAAGCTCGCCACTCGTACTACATCATCTCCAATTACTGTATTGGTCGTCTCGAGATTTTTCTCGTTTGATAAAAAGATTAGGTTAAATCAATGAAAAATTGGAATATGCAAAAAGACAATAATGATTGGAGTGAATTTCTCGGTTGTCGATTGAGAATTAAAACGATTGGCAAAAAACAAGATTACTGTTTTAACGATCAGCGATCGTCTTTTATTTTCAGGACATAGCGACCTACTCGTCGACTTTAGCCGTCGATAGAACGCACAATCGCTGACTCCCCATTAAAATCGGATTGGCACAAGCTATGATTAAATGATTTAGCAAGCACACGAGCGCAAAAAGGAATTAATTTCTCTCGGTTGTCGTTGACGGTCTGTAAACGATACTTGGACAATGGAAAACGTAATTGGCCATCCAGTAGTAAGCAAACGCACAGCCCATCACGTAACAATGTCATTAAGCAGAATTATTGGAGCTTTGACATTCAAAAGCACGCATCAGCGCGATGTAATCCTCGCCCAAAGCTTGGCAATGGCAATCGAGGCGCGCGCAACGAGAGTCTGAAAAGAATAACAAAACAAGGAGGCAGTGGAAAGGGAATGAGTGTGATTGAGCGCGCCGTGGCAAATCCAAAAGGCACAGCGAGCTGAGAGCGTGGCGTCGCTTGCGCGCGGAGGGAGAGCGAGAGCTATTGGAAATTCGTGCACCTGTGGCTGCATCGGACTTTCAAAGAAGCCCTTCACGCGATCCATCACGCGGCCTGCACACGGATTTCGCGGGACAAAGGTGGGAGACGCCAGCGAAAATACAAAAAATTTGATCGACCAATGCTGCAGATGTCGTCAAAGCTCGCCAGTCGTCGCCGTCTGTGCGGGGCTGTGTGTTTTGTTGCATCCATATGCAGATCCTCCCAGAGACGGAGAGAGCTACACGCGTCGATATGACAACATTTACATATACTGCATATTCGGTTATATAGTAGCCGCGAGCCATATACTCTCTCGCGCGCACACATACGCGGCCTGCAACTCCCTATTGTTGGTCATCGCGCGGCTTGAGCGTTTGATTGACATTATTGGTCGCGCTGCGCCCACTCGCTGACACCAGATTACATTTCTATTTGCATACATTCGTACGCGCACACGCCGAATGTAACCCTGCACTTTACCATCCTACGGCCCTCTAACTCGATGACTCATTGCTCCCAAATCCGCTGATATGAGTTTTTTCCGCTTTTATCTGTGGCTTTTTTATGTTTCATCTTGTCCCTTTTTTTCTCGATCGAGCGCCATTCGACATTTTACAGAAATTTCGCAAACGGACACATACATACATTGCGCGGCCATTAGTTACTTTTCAGCAAATTCTCAACTTTGAGTTTAGCCACGATAACGGATTCATCATATTTTTTACCAATAGTGTTGAAAGAAAAGTTGAATATTCAATTAAATGTGGCTGAAAGTTAGCATGTTACAAAAAGTGATAGTTAAAAATTTTATTCTTTATCAATCAATCGAGTATGATCAATGAGATTGCCTTTCAGATTGCTCCTCGTTGGGTTACATAACGTTCGGTGGCGCTTTTAATTTCAATATGCCATCTTCCTCCCTTCCTCGGTAACCCGAGACGCCTGCGCATAACCGGATTTTACACTCAACGTTACACCGACTAGCGCGGGGGTGCGCGCATTCTCGTTTTTTTTTTCTGCTGCGTGTGGAATAAAAATTACAAAAAAGGGAACAAAATAACAAACGCTGCGAAATTGAAACAGCCCCGCCCTCTACAACTAATCGGATTTTTTTCCCACTGAATTTATATGAAAATGATAGGTTACATCATCGCTTGGTCCGAGGGCGAGATCGTTACGGTTTATCGCGCAGACGGCCCTTGGGGATGTAAAAGTCATGCACGGGAAATTGATTGTTGGTGCGGGGCAGGTTTGTAAGCGCGATATTGCGTAACGGTCTTTTATTTTTCGTATACACGGGCTATCGCGCAAATTTTCAATTCGCTAGCCACTGCCGCCAGCCGTTTTCATGGTTATCGCGAAAATTCACATTACAAAGGCAACGTAATTGCCAAGGTTGAAAGTAATTATTTGCAATTTTGTCTTCAAACGCTGTTCTTCTGTAAAGTTTAATGTAACATACCTTTCCTATCATCAGCCTTTTGAATATATTAATTTTGCTGTGCATCCTTCTTGACAGCTAACTAAAATAATTTTCAGAAATTTACAACGTTTTTAGCTTCGTAAATAACTAATTGAAATTCCACGTGAGAGCAATATTCAGAAATAATTAGACGTGTACGTGAACATTTGCTGCAACTTGGAACTTGAAGCGAGTATCATAAAAGTGATATAGTACCTGATATGAATTTTGAATTCTCGTCATTCTTAGTGATCTAGTGAAACTTCGTTTGAAAGCCTTGTGAAAAATGTATTAGACCGCCGAACATCGGAGCTCTTAATAGAGCATAGTCCCCAAAGGGTGTCCACAGAAAGCCGATTTTCCAGGCAAATAACCGACGATTAAGTTTTCATTCGCGAGTGCACATTACACGATAGGCGTGTGCGGCCGCAAAGCAGCAACAATGGGCGAGAGGCGCGCGTCAACAAAAGAGGGTTGCGTTCATTGTGGTTAGCCCTTTATCAGGCGGCAACCGTGAAATATGAACTTGGCACTGGGCACACGCGTGTGTCTCTTCACAGTGCGTTACCTATGAATATGCGATCGGGCGCTCAGTGTATATGATCACAAATGTAGGTGAAGCTGAACATGCTTTCAATGATTGTTTGGGCGCATGGGAAAAATGGAAGCGCAATGAGAGAAAGGCGCTTTGTCTTTTTTTTACTTTTCGGCTGAAAACAATCGCGTGAGGGAGGCTATTTGTGTGCGCACATTCTCGCTCGTTCGTTCGCACTTTTAGGGGAGGGCAAATTTAGCGGAAGGTCGCGAAGCTTGCGACTTGTCGCGTCGTGAGGGGAACTCCAATGGTAATTCCAACTGTACACGTCGAATATGCGAGTTCGCTATTTTGAAAGCTAACTTATTGTTTAGTACCAGTATACCCTGAAAACAAATCTTTTGATTTTATTTGAAGCCTTGAGAGACGAATAATTAAAGCTGAATTGGCAGATTTTATAGCGCAGCTGAGTGATCGATATCGTTAATCAGTCTGCTTTTGCATTTATAAACACATTCATTGAACTTTCAACTATCACTTCCAAAATCATTAAGTTTCACTTGTAAATTGTTTCTGAAATGCCCGAATACGTAACAATCTTTTACGTAAAAATCAATAAATCAAAGCGCTCACTTTCATAAAAATTTAAATACCCGGACGACGCAAATGCACTGAACAATGATTCGACTTATATGCAGTGTATATATATATATATATATATATATATATATATATATATATATATATATATATATATATATATATGTATGTATATGTATATGTGGCAGTTCATTCTCTTCCTCTCCAGCTGTATACATGTGTACGACAAGTCGGGCAAACAATGCACAAACAAGCCTGGTACGCACATACCTTTTGGTGTTGAAATATCTGCACTGGCTGTAAATCCTTCGTCCCTTCAACTTTTATCCTTCTTTTTTTGAGCCCAATGAATCACGTTTGGTATTGCGTGCTCGAGGAAGAACCAGAGTAGAGAGAGAGAGACAGAGAGAGAGAGAAAGACAAAGAAACAAGCAACGACTGATAAAGGCTTGGCGACAGGCAGTCTGGCACATGCACACGTGCATGTTGTGCACCGACCAGTGTATATACTAGCGTTTGCTCCGTTGCACTGTACTACCGAAGTTCAAAGGTTAGTTATTTATCATCGTTAAAAACGGTTGAGATAATAAACTAACATCTATCATCCTTCAGATGACGTAGATC